TATTTAATAATTGATACATTAATTTTGTATGCACAAGTAAACATCTGAATTATATTTAAGTAAATAGTAATATAAAATGTATAAATAAAGCTTATTTAAGCACGAGTTTTTTATTGCATAATTAAAATTTGTAATTATATAGAATGTAATGGTTAATTCCAATTTTTATTTCTACATTAAATATTACTACATAAGTACATTAAATGATTTGTATACACTGAATTTCAATAATAGTACAAAAAAAAAAACGTCTTAAGCAAACTCATTAAAAAATAACGCATACTGAATAAATACAAGAATTCTGCTAGTTCTTAATAAATAATGGAAATAAAAATGAATATGAATACGTAATTTTATATTTTATAAACTATAAAAATATATTTTATTGAATTTAAGGTCGAATATATATATATATGTAGTTACGATTTATTAAATACTAAATTCATTACACATTCTATATTCAAGATTTAGTAGTTCAAATGCATTTGATCATATATCACTTAATAGCGAAGCAAAGAGAGAGAGAGAGAGAGAGAGAGGGAGAGAGTGTGTGTGTGTGTGTGAGTGAGTGAGAGAGGGAGAGAGACTAAATGAGAGACAAAGAGATGGAAGATTTCAATCCATGTGTATATTCAGTAGTGAGAATTAGCAATGTACTATTTTAGCCAAATTATGTGAACGGACTATTGACAGATTCTCTTTAGGATCTATAATATATCCGTCAGTGCTCTCTACTCTATGCTCTGTGAGTACACAAGAGAGCTTCGTTAACCCTTTGGTAGGTTGAGATCGAGCGTAATTACCGCCGCTGATGGATATTGGCTGTAATGCTACTATGAAATGTAAAGAGACTACTAATTCTGTGGGGGTTCTCAGGTTAACATGTTCAATGCTGCTTTTGCAGACCGACAGATTGGCTTCCTGTTTAAGTTTAGAACGAAAGAACCCAAAGATATATATATATATATATATATATATATATATATATAAATATATATATATTTACATTTATATTGAACCCGCAATAAATTATAATTGTTAAATAAACTATGTATAACAGGCTGCGCGAGCCCTTAAATAGAAATTTGTATTATATGGATATAAGATACTTTTGTATTGTGAATGAAAATCTTAATTATACTAAATTATCAAAAGTTTTAGTTAAAAAAAAATAGAATATATTTTCATCGTTGATTCTAATATTTGCAAGTTCCATATGTAAAGAGAATGAAATTTCAAAATTTCTATACATTCATAGTTCGACTTCGTACGAATTTATGAAAAAAGGTATATTTCTATTCTTGCACATTCAACATTCAAAAAAAAGAATTAACTTCTTTTACTATTATTCTTGATACTATAGATATTTCTTGAAATTAATTTGGAGT